ACCGCAGCGAGGCCGCCGCCGCCGCCATGGAGGCGCTGGGACCCGGTGAGCGGCGGGGGTGCCCGGGGGTGGGGTGAGCCCCGGCTCCTTGGGGGGTCCTGGCGGGGGGGGGTCTCTCCTGGGGGTGACTTCTGCCTCGGGGGGGGGGGCTGGCTCCTGGGGGGGGTAACTTCCTCTACTAGGGGGGTGACTGCTACGGGGGGGTAACTTCCTCCATGGGGGGGCTGGCTCCTGAAGGTGGTGACGTCCTCCTCTGGGAGGTTGGGGGCTCCCAGGTGACAGGGGGTGGAGGTTTGGGTGGTCCCCAGGTGGGTGGTGCGGAGGGGGGCTTGGGCTTCGTTCCTGGAGCGGTGGGGGGGGGGGGGGGTGATTCCTGGTGGCACTGGGTCCTGAGGAGGTTGGGGGGCTTGGCTTCCTTTGCTTCAGGGGGTGCCCAGCCCCCTGGTGGGGGAGAGCCCAGGTTTCGCTGGGTGCTGGTGTGTACCCTTAGTCAGAGGCCTGTCACCCTTGCCCTCTCTCCCATCAGCCCTCTCTCCAGGCCCCACATGTTATGGGCCCCTGTCTGACTAGGGACACATAGCTCTTTATTTGATGATATCCTTGCTCTTCTCAAGAGTAGTTTAAATGCATGAGGGAGGGGAAAGGAAGTTGTTTCCGCCTCCTGAGTCCAGGAGGTCTGGCACCTGATGCCAACAAACTGTGTGCTGTGCTTTAAATCCAGTTATTTTTTATGTGTCGGGTGTATTCTGATATTGAGTAAAGACATTGGACGTATTACTAGCAGTGACTGATTCATAGGTGGGCGAAGGAACCTATGAAAATTTCCATTCCCCCTCTAAGTTCTGCCCACGGTAACTTTCCAGCCAGAGTATTTTCGCCTTCTCTAAATGTTTTTTGCTGCAGCGTGTTTAATAATTTGCTAACTATATTGCAAAGTGTGGTTAACCCTGTCTGCAGCTCTTAGGCCTTTCACAAATCAGTGATACTTTCTGTTCTATACTGTTCAGTTGAGTATTTCCTAAGAAATATATAGGTTTTTTTTCTAATAAGAATAGGTGAGGCGATGCTATTAAAAATGCCCTGAATTTAGTGATGGTTTCATTCCACTGCTACATGTGTAAGTAACAAATTGGGATATGGTTGTGGGAGGTTATTGCCTGGTCAGTGTAGAGGTCTCTCTGGCAGAGGTGTTACTGACATGAAACCAGACTAAGTGTATCTCAGCGAGCTGTCACTTTTAAAGAGGAACTTAAGTGGGTTGCTAAACTTTACCAGCAGATTCACTATACACTCAAAACTTTCTGCATGACAGACAGGCCACTCAGTCTGCTATAGGAGTTTTTCTACATAGACATACTACAATATGATTTGACTTCTTAAAAATGTAGATGAGTTAGTGTGGAATACAGCCTTAGCCAAGGAAGTGACTTGATGGGAAAGAGGAGCAGTAGGGTGATAGGTTTGAAAATTGGCATACACAGTACATTATGGTTGCAAATAAATTGCATGATGTCATAAAAACATGCCTAACTTTTGAAGGAGGGCCATTGTAGAAAGAGTTTTGACTAAATCTTGAGACTTACCTGCTCATTAAAACAAAAGCTGTTGGTATATGACGAAATGTCACCTTTTATTGGATGCGGAACTTGGTGAGTATTGTCACATGAGATAATGGTTAAAGATTAAAATGTGTGCAAGAGGTATTTCTTGACTGAAGAATGTATATCTACACCTAGGTTCTAGAATACTTGTCCTAGCAAGTTGATCTTTTCAGGAACTCTGCAAAATCTACAGCAATAAGTTATTGATCTGAAGACCAAATCTACCCTCATTAATTCCACGTCTTGGGAGATGTTTTGAAAGATCACTGTTATAGGTGTTACTTTGAATGTTTACAATCTGTTAATCAATGTGTGATGCAGTATAAATTCACACATTTCCAAGAGGTCCTCTTTCATTTGTGTCAAACTGCTTCCCCTCGGAGGTACCTTGGTTATAAGCTGTTAACACATGGCAGGAAAACTAGAGCAACAGTGTGGGATACAAATATTTCATCCTAGTGAAGTTGAAGGGACAAAATTAAAATTATGGAAACAAATTATATAAATTGTAGTGAAGCCCTGGTTTCAGATGGACAATAGCATTTAATTTACTACTTTGTATCAGAAAGAATAAGAATGATTATAAAGAGAAGATGTACAGTAATATTAACCTCCTTTCTTGACAACAAATGTCTGGAATTGTTTCGATTCCTAATTTACAAAACTTGCAAATATTGAAGACGGTAAATGGGTAAATATAGTTGGTCATTTAATCTCTTTTAGCAGGTCAGTGCCCACAAAAGCTATACTGCTTCAGACTAATTAGCACAGGATTAATGGATCATCTCCCTAGTATCCAAACAAGCACAGCAAACTTTGATTGCCCTCGATGATTCATGCTTTTTAACTTTTTAAAATGAAACTGTATCCTACGACAAGCTGCCCTTAAATTAAAATAAATAAAAATATGTATACAGGTGCAGGGCCAGTGAGGCACATGGCGTGTTTGATATCTAGTAAGACAAACGCTGTGCCTCAAGGAAGCTGGTGTGCTGTTCTCCTCAACTTTGGAGAATTGATATATCAAACGGACTACATCTACTTGGAGTATCACCCTCTAAGTACTTTAGCACTTAAAATATTTTAGTGTTAATAGTCAAACAATCTATAAATAAAAATTGGTAATTTAGTGGAGACTTAGAAGTCTTCCTATAAAACAAAGGTATATGGCTTCTTGGGATTTAGTCTTGCATGCAAAAGTTTATTACTGCATTTCTAAGGTTTCCCGACATGTTTGTTTTCCTCCCCGCCCAATGGGATAAATTCAGACCCTCTGTTTGTCAGCCCTTTGACTGAAAGGGACACTGTCAGCTTAACATTTTGTCAGGTAAAAAAAGCTTTTAAAGCAGCTTCAGTTATTAAATTTCTCCTAAGTTATCCTACCAATTTTTGTGGCTTTAAAGTCGTGCTTTTTATTTTTCAAACATTTTTCTCTCCTTTGTTGCTATGCAAAAGACTCAAGCAGGGAAAGCTGCCTACACAAGTGGAATCATGAAATTGTGACTACACAGAATGCTGTCAAATGCACAAAATAAACTGAAACAAATATTTTTTTAATTCAGTCACTTCAGTTCAAGTGTTTAAACAATAGTGAGTTTTAAAAAAATCAGACACATTTGACTTTCAAATAAGAGTTCCTTTAAATTATGTAACATTCCAGTTCTAACTTATATCTTTGAGGAAACTGGCAAAACATGACATTGCCTAATTTGAGTTCAAATATGTCTTCCTTCTTGAAGCCTCTGCAAATGTTCTCAGTAGAAATAATTAAAACCCAGATTTTTATAAGCAACCGTAACCCGTTCTATTAACAAGACATGGATGTCTTTACACTAATAATTTTGTTGAAAACATTTTACTCTTACTGTTTCCTTACTGTTTCTCTTCCTTTAGGGGAAACTGTCCTCCTCACTCCCATCTTTGTGTTGGAATTTGAAATTGGCCTGAGCTTTGTTTACATTGAATCGCATTTCCCGGTTAGCATGTAAACAGCATAGCATTTTTTTTGTGGTAGTGGAAACTACAATATTTTTTGTCAGTACTATATAAAAACGGTATTTTTAATTTATATTATAGAATAAAAAACTCTTCACCAATTCCAGATACTATCAATTTTCAGATAAAAATTGGACCTCTAATCACTTGATCATGCCAAGAATCAGTCATTAAATCCTGACTCTGAGCATAATACATGGAAGCCTGTAATGGACTTAATAATAAACTCTCTATTATTCACTAATGATACTATGCGCGGTGATGAGTATATATAGTATACAAAAGACTAAATTCCATCACAGGGCTTTGACTTCATAAATCGTGTTTACAAAAGTAGATTTCTTACATACATTACTGCTATAATTAGTTGTGTTTTGGGTACATGATTCTGTTCTTCATGAAAATCATTTAGAGCTGTTAAAAGGCAGTGGAGCCACTAAGGAGCACTTTCATTTGTAAATCTTGCAACCTGGGCAAGGCACTTCAGACTTTGTTCCCTCGTCTGTCACAAGGAGCCTTCGGTTGAATTACAGTCCTATCTCCAGTTGGGAGGACGTTGTGTTACATGATCATTTATTATCTCAAACTTTTTTCTTTGACTTTCACAGGGCCCCCAGCCAGCCTCTTCCAGCCGCCCCGCCGCCCCGGCCTGGGAACTGTTGGGAAACCCATCCGTCTCTTAGCCAATCATTTTCAGGTGCAGATCCCTAAAATTGATGTTTATCACTATGATGTAGATATCAAACCAGAAAAGCGGCCCCGAAGAGTGAACAGGTAAGGATGGCTTAATAAACACTAAAGCAGCCTCAATTTAAGGAAACTCTACTTTTTAGCAGGTCTCCAGCTGCTGTCAAGTATAGTTTTATATATGCAATGTAGGTAATAGTCGCCAATTTAGGGCTCCTAGGTGCTGTGGAAAAACAAATTGTATCCTATTCTCAGAGAAAGCTGTATTCAAAGCTTTTACAGTTGGCCTGTAGATGTAGAAAATATAGAGAAATATGTTGTAGGAACAATCCTACACTGGTCTCCCAGTGGGCCAAATAGCTTTTTCTATCTATAATTTAACTAATGGTGGAATTTTGGTAGCAGCCATTTGTTCTTTGGATCACATTTTTGTTCTCCATTCTGCACGCGTGTTTGCCCTGTGTCTCTGTTCAGGGCCAAAGGGGCTGCTGGCAACTTGGGTAGGTGCAGAATCAGGTGCATTGTTGTCTCTGATAGCAACCGGTTTCAGGCTTGAGTCCAGTTATGGCCAATCATAACAACTTTGCTAATGCATCACTGAATTTGCCTATTCTTCAAACTAATCTATTGAACAATGCCATTCCTCTTTAGGGAGGTGGTAGATACTATGGTGAGACACTTCAAGATGCAGATATTTGGTGATCGGCAGCCAGGATATGATGGCAAAAGGAACATGTACACTGCACACCCATTGCCTATTGGGAGAGATAGGGTAAGTGTTGTAGTAGACAGCTTTAATCTTCCAGTGACGTGTTGCAGTACCAACACTGCAATACCATGTATCGTTTATGAAGTGTGCTAAGACAGATCACACTTCTTGGTGTAAATTTTTCTCAAAAAGGTTGTTAAAACCACTTAAAGGGCAATACTGTTAGCTGCTTGACTGTTGAATGACCTTTGAATTGTACTTTGCAGCAAATGTGCTGTTCTGGTTCGATTGGATTTGTTTAGGCAAGTCCTAACATAGGAGAGGAGTGCCAGGGGGCCAATATGCTCTAGCGCTAGCTAAACTCGTTGCGGCCAGGCCTGGTTTTAAAGTTCAGAACCAAAACAAAGAACAGTTTTCTACACTAGACTCTCAATTTTCCCCCTCATCTATTTGAAGACAGAGGCTTCTGTAACTCACTTCCTCTCTACAGACGTATGGTCTCATAGTACAAATCATTAGTTATACATGTTCATTTACTTATGCTAGCAATTTACTCATGTAAATTTACTTGAGTAAATCCAAGGCAAGAAACGTTTTCATTAAAACTGAAAATTTGAGTAGAATCATTAGGTTCTCTTAATATTCGGTTTTCTAAGACTTTCAACAGAAGATCAACTTGTCTGCCTGATGATGTGATTTATTTTATGGTCGTACCCAAAGTCCTAAACTTGGAGTGGAACACAGTTCTGCTAGGTGCTATCCAAAGACACAGGAAGACAGTCAACATCCCCAAATGCTTAATCAGAACAGACTAAAACACACTTTAAAAGCAAAGAGTAGTGGGGAAACATGACATACAAGCAAACTGATCAGGCTGATGAGACACGTGACTTGTTCTAGTTCCTATTTTTAAATACATTTTTATTAATGGTGGCAGAGGTATAGAGAAGGGAAATAGCAGAAGAAGGTGAGGTAAATAGGAACAAGGGAGGAGGGGGAAGGAAGTTGAGCACAGAGTGTAATGTAGCATTTATGGATCAACAGTTACCAGATATTTCAGATGCTTCCTTTTGTTTCTCACAACAATGTCAAGGAAGTTAGTGGGCCTCTTTTCAAATTTACTCTTTCTGAGGATAAACATTAACAAACTGTCACCTTCCAGTCAAGCCTTATGTTTACAACTCCGTAATTTTCAACCGAAATATTTTAGTGTGTCCTAGTTTTTAATAGTATTGGTAGATAGAAATATATACCAAAACTTCCAGATTTGGGTGACATCTGTGTAGATACTCAGTTTTCTGGAGAAAATAACCCTACTTTACACTCTTGTTTTGAGGACCAGATTACTGGTGGCACATTGCCATGTGAGGGAGACCCTGTAGACTAATGGTGGAAGAGAGTACTTTTCAAGTAGAGTGCTCAACTTCTGGGGAGGAACACTTTGCATCCCTCATAGATCTTTGATTCCCTGGGTGATTAATTGTGGTGTTGACTGGTTCCCGAGGAAGGTCAGTGCATTGACCTGAAGACTAGAGGTTAACATACCTTTACTGTGTTGTTATGGACACAAACCAGCCTCTTCCTATTAATTCTTTGGGACAAAAAGTGGATGACTAATCATAGCTCTCTTCTTAAGTGCTTTGGTGTCACCCTATTAACCTCCAGTTGAAGATAATGGCTAATACAAACAGAACCTCAGAGCAGATTCTTGGTGTGACTAAATTACCAGGTTTCAAACTTCTCTATGCAACTACTCTTGTTTGCTGTAGAATTCCCTTAAATTATTACATCCTAGTTGAGAAATCACCTGTAGACTCAAAGCAAGTCCATGAGAATGAGTGTTGCTTAGTGTTGCGCTAGGATATTGAGTCTGTTAATTTATGTTTGTGCTGCATCTGCTCTGATTGTTTAGGTGGATATGGAGGTGACGCTCCCAGGTGAGGGAAAGGACCAGACGTTTAAAGTGTCTATTCAGTGGGTGTCAGTGGTCAGCCTTCAGCTGCTTCTGGAAGCTCTGGCAGGGCATTTGAATGAAGTTCCTGAAGACTCCGTACAGGCACTTGATGTAATCACACGGCACCTTCCCTCCATGAGGTGGGTACTTTTGATTGCAGGTTTCCTAATCCGGCTCCGCTTGAATCAATCTGTTAAAGTGATGCCTATTTGCCGTGGCTCCAAACTTAAACTATACTGCTGCAAAAGGGGTGAAGGGATCTGTTGTGTGGTTATTTTTTGTTGTTTGTTTTTTTAATACATTTTTGATACATGCGTTAGAAGAAATATGGTCTGCCCCATGGGACCTACATATATTAGGACTTGAACTTTTGGGAACCCAGGGAATACAATGAAAGAAAGAATCTAAGTGTTAACCCTTCCTGTTTCATCAGGTACACCCCTGTGGGCCGTTCCTTCTTCTCTCCTCCTGAAGGTTACTACCACCCTCTGGGAGGAGGCAGGGAGGTTTGGTTCGGATTCCATCAGTCGGTCAGGCCTGCCATGTGGAACATGATGCTCAATATTGATGGTATGCAAGAACTTCTGTTTTTAATGGCATAAGAAAGTTCCTTCTCCCCCTACCTTCACCTCCTCTAGACTAAATATCCTGTCTTTCTTTTCTTAGTATCGGCGACTGCTTTCTATCGTGCCCAGCCTATCATTGAGTTCATGTGTGAGGTCCTGGACATTCAGAACATCAATGAACAGACCAAGCCTCTTACAGACTCCCAGCGTGTTAAGTTTACCAAAGAAATCAGAGGTAAATGCATAGTTTAAAAACTGCTGGTGCAAAGTATTGGAGGCCTGTGAGCGTATTAAATTGTGCTACCAGAGTTCACAGGCTGCAGACCCTGGAAACTGGCTTATTCCTTGTCACTCATCTTTCCCAGTTGAAAGTAAATCTTAGAGGTGGTAATAGGTTGACTGTGTCTGATTTTTATTTTGGTGGCTTTTGTCTTGGGTTTTCAGGTCTAAAAGTAGAGGTTACCCACTGTGGCCAGATGAAGAGAAAATATAGAGTTTGCAATGTTACCAGGCGACCAGCGAGCCATCAGACGTATGTACACAATATCTTCTATAAAGTGAAAGCTATTGGAGATGCTAAGTGGCTTATTTCTACAAGGGTAGCTGGCTCAGGAGCCAAATGGCTTTTAAAAGAACTCTTAATTTTGAGACTGATTGGAACAATGACTGTGGATTTGGGCTACAACTGTACTTTCTCCACACAATGAATAATTAGAGAGCTGCCTTGGCTTTTAAAATGTCTCTCGAAAGCCATAATTTTTTTAACTTGGCTTTAAGTCCAATGCCCACTGAGAAACTATTTTATACATACGTTTACATAAAGAGAAATAATAACTCTAGAAAATGGGCATTTTCAGGGCTTTCAAATATATGCTCCATATCACTTTTTAAAAAGAATTAACCACTTAATTGTGAAGCGTAATCAAAGCAGTGCATTTTTTTTTAATAGGTTCCCTCTGCAGCTGGAAAATGGACAGGCTATGGAGTGTACAGTAGCTCAGTATTTTAAGCAAAAGTACAGTCTGCAGCTGAAGTATCCTCACCTTCCGTGTCTCCAAGTGGGACAGGAACAGAAACACACTTATTTACCACTTGAGGTAAAGGAGTCTGGTAACTTTTAACTGGCACTGCATTGTGACTTACACCCCTTGTTTCAGAGGCAATAAACCATCCCTAATTCTGTTGCTGTGTAGGTATGTAACATTGTGGCAGGCCAACGATGTATCAAGAAGCTAACAGACAATCAGACATCAACTATGATAAAGGCGACTGCAAGGTCGGCACCAGACAGACAGGAAGAAATCAGCAGACTTGTGAGTAGCTGTAGTTCAGCTTTATGGAAAATAGTCGTAAGACTTTTCCCTTTCCCTTCAAATGTTTTTTGATAGAAAATTTTCAAGTTTTCACCATAGATGGGTTTTGTGTATATCTTTCAAATGGTTTCCATTGGAAAATTGTAGCAAAATCCATAGAATTTCTGATCCCTTTAAGGTACCTGTGTGAATAAGCAGACTAGCCAAGAATAGAAGAAACGGAAGAGACTTTTTTTCTCTTTTAATATAAGCCCATGGTCCCCAAACTCTTCCGCTCTCACCCTCCCCTTAGCAGTAATAGAATGTGTCTGCGCCCCACCTCCCCGTGCCAGGAGTGGAGTCATGGCCAGGCTGGGAGCAGGGGCCACAGCTGCGGGCAGGGCCGGGGCAGAGCGGGGCTAGGTGGCACTCCCTCTCAGCCCCCTCATGGGGGTTGGTCTGGGCCCTGCCAAACACCCCTGGACATTTCTCGATGCGCCCCACAGTTTGGAGACCACTGACGTAAGGGGATATGGCTTGAGCCACTCTGTGCTTATTGTTCTAATAACAACCACCTGAAATACTATGTATGGTTATGATGATGATCTCCAGGTGAAGAGCAACAGTATGGTAGGTGGACCGGATCCGTATCTGAAGGAGTTTGGCATTGTGGTCCATAACGAAATGACAGAGTTAACAGGCAGAGTATTGCCAGCACCGATGCTGCAGTATGGAGGCCGGGTGAGTTCTTGGTATCTATTGTAAAATAGCTTGTTGTTAGAATCAGACTTATGAAGCATTGGTGGGTATTTTGTAATTTAAAAGTTCACTTCTGCACAAACCTATAGAGAATACTGTTCACTGCCTTATCAACCTCATCATAGTTTTTAATTTTTAAGTTGTCTTTGTCTTTATTTAGAACAAGACTGTAGCTACACCAAACCAGGGTGTTTGGGACATGAGAGGGAAACAGTTCTACGCTGGCATTGAGATTAAAGTTTGGGCTGTTGCCTGCTTTGCACCTCAAAAACAGTGCAGAGAAGACTTGCTCAAGTGAGTATGTTTGTGCTACCAGCAGTTACGATAGAACATGCACCACACTAGGATGGTATAGATAATATTGAGCCCTGCCTTAGTGCAAGGAACCGGACTAGATGACCTATTGAGGTCTCTTCTAGTCCTACATTTCTATGATAACTTGATGTGAACACATCTAACACAGTAAAAGCAGGAAATCCTTGCCTTTAGTAGCTTAAATATTTGCAATGTGAAGGTGGGGAATAACCAAGTCTGTAACCTAAATTGGTAAACTGTTAAACTAGGAAAAGGATTAAGGTGCTTATATTGCTGTTGAAATGCTCTCTTTGGAGAAGACGACAACCGTGTTTATACCTCCTGCTTTTTTCCTCTCACTGCCTGCATTTGGCCTATGTTTCTCTTCTGATGACTGGTCCCTTTGTTTTCCTGGCTTACTGCTCATGGCTGATCAGCTTCCCAATCAACATGTACTCCTTCCCTCTTCTCCAAATAACCTACAAAAGTGCTAAGTATCATCTTGGTTCATATCCATACAGGCTTTCAGGTGGTGTACTCTTGATGCCAGAGAGTCCGAGTTAGGCTATCCTTCATGTTGTAAAGCACTGTAGTAGTGCAGAGAGCAGGATGTACTTATTGAGCTATTCAGTGTTTGTGTAATGTTCTACTGAACTCACTTCTTACACAGTTCAAATGTCTTTATTTTTAGATATAAACGAAATGCATTATTAACATTGTGTCGCTAAACCAGATGTTAACTGTTTAGTACCGTTAATATATATGGTACTTTACAGAACATAGAATAGACATTGTCCTTTGTTTTCTCTGTTAATATTACATGGAAGCACTAAATTTTTGAGGGTTTTGGTGCTTCATTTTAGGGATTCAGGAGGGGAAGGGAGATCACTAGAAATGTCACTGTTTCGGATTGGATTGTTAGAGAGGACTGGCTTAAAACTGCAAAAGCAAGGAAGCTGAGTATCTGGAGAACCTTGCTTGACTAACTGTATTTTCAGTATTTCGGTGGTTTCAGACAATGGCTACTTTAAATGTATGTGCTGGAGTATTTCTGCTCACAAGAGCTGTGCAATATAAGGGTCCAGTGGAGTTGGTCATGTTGGGGGGGATTTAAGACAGCTACTTACCTACTTCTGCAATACACAAAATGAACACAACTAAATGTTTAATGAGTCTGATCCTTTGGTAATGTTGAACTCTCTCTCCTTTGCTTGGTACAGACAGGTGTTTGAGGCATTACATCTCCATTAATGCACTTATAATAGTACCTGCAGCGCCAATAATTCCTTGTCCTTGTGTACATTATATATTTCATGTGCTTATCGGTTCTGTGCGCAATGACGCAGGGTTAGCTGATTTTGGAACAATAACTGAATTTCCTGTATGTGCATTTTAATTTTAACTGTAATTATTGCTATTTTAACTTCTTGCTGCAGGGTCAGTTTACAGAAGTCATTTCCTGTCTTAAACTGTTGGAGATAGTAGTATTGCTTTGAGCTGTTTAATAATCACTGAGTTTTAGTGGTGGGTGTAGTGATTTGATGATAAAGGAAAATCACACCAAATAAACTGTGGCTTTTGTTAATGTGAGACTCAAATGTGACTGTCTGCATGCAAAACTCCTGTTGACGTCAGAGCGTTACCTGTGTGTAAGGACTTCAGGATAAGCCCCATTATTGCTAAGCCAAATTTCTTCAGTCATGCCAAAGGCACCTGTCCTAGATTCTTCATCTATGGCTGGTTCAGGTTTCTAAAATTGTGCTCATGTAACTCATGTGGCTGACAGGACATTTGAACAATTGCAGTGTGTGAAGACATGAAAAGTTTCTCTTCAGTCAAAACTAGAACTGTGCTAGTGAAGGTCTAAGTTGGGTATAATTTAAAGAGAATTTTAGCAGTATAAAACTGACCATTCAATGGAATAATGTAGAAGATAACGTGCCCAGTTGCCAGAGGACTGAAATGACTGAAACTGTGTGGACTGATTTGCCAAAAGCTAGTACTTCATTTGTTTTATAGGAGTTTCACAGACCAGCTGCGCAAGATCTCCAAGGATGCGGGGATGCCAATCCAAGGCCAGCCATGTTTCTGTAAATACGCACAAGGCGCAGACAGCGTGGAGCCCATGTTCAAACACTTGAAGTTGACCTATGTTGGTCTGCAGCTCATAGTAGTGATCCTGCCTGGAAAGACACCTGTGTATGGTATGGAAAGGAGATTATAAAGTTAGCTCACTGTACATCATCTGTACTTAAAGGTGCATAATGATGAGATGGGTAAAGATTAGCAATGCCTTTTTCTGTGATGGTTTTTTCTAGAGGTTGGTTAATATCTCACTACTTTTGTACAGATATAGTTAGAGTGGATTCTCATTCACTGTTGAATCTTGACCTACTTTTCAAATGTCTTACAAGCGGGAGGTAGGGGAGCATTGATGCTTCTGATAATCAGAATCACCTTGCTTTTCTGTTGCAGCTGAGGTTAAGCGTGTTGGTGACACTCTCTTAGGAATGGCCACGCAGTGTGTTCAGGTGAAGAATGTGGTAAAAACCTCACCCCAAACTCTGTCCAATCTTTGTCTGAAGATAAATGCAAAGCTTGGAGGGATCAACAATGTGCTTGTACCTCATCAAAGGTTAGATCAAATTTAAAGCTTTAATGAAGGCCTAACTTAGCAGGCAAAATGATTATTTTGGTCTACTTTTTAATAACTAAAACGGTACCTTTCCAAACAATGGGTGGGTTAGAAATCTTCTATAGATGTTGATGCTTTTGTATTAAATGGGACAAATGATCATGCCTTCTGTTTTTAGAACTGAAGCTGCACAACACGCTATTTTATACATTGTACCTTAGGATAAAGCCTGCCTCAGGTTTCAGACTTGTCCAGCAATGTGGCTGAAAAGGAGACAAAGGGTTGGAGTAAAATAAAATGAAAAGATGGGAGAGCTCTAAAATTCTCAAGTCCCATCAGTGTTGGTCTTCTATTAGCACATGGCCATTTTCTGAATTGCATTGGGAATTGTCACCTGTCTCGTGACGACATGTTTTCACGTCTACTTCTATAACCAATAATGTATAGTAAACTGTCTAGACATACAGTTTGATGGATGACTACATACCAAAATTGTCCTGAAGCAAGAAACCTATTTTTCTTGCTGCTTGATTAGATATGGAGCACCTAGTCAAAGTATCAGAGGGGTAGCCGTGTTAGTCTGAATCTGTAAAAAGCGACAGAGGGTCCTGTGGCACCTTTGAGACTAACAGAAGTATTGGGAGCATAAGCTTTCGTGGGTAAGAACCTGTCTTGCATCTGAAGAAGGGAGGTTATTACCCCAGAACGCTTATGACTCCCATACTTC